CAAGGACTGAGTCACCCCCGGAAGGGTGCTGGCACCCCCAGAGTGAGGGGTGGAGGGGGGGGAAAGCCCGGACCCCTCCCAGAAAGAGGGGACACGTGGGCACCCTTCCTGGGGTCTTTTTCCGTTCTCCTGGCATTCCCGGGCACGGGATGGGGAGCCTGTCTGCCGGACACGCCGCAGCTGTGCCGGGGGGGCCTGGCCTCGCCGCCGGCTCAAAGGTTGGCCGGGATGAGGGCTGTGCCTGTTTACACAAGGGGGGGGCCCCCGCGCTGGCGGCGGCTGCGTCGTGCCGATGGGCTCCCCCCTTCGCCATCCCGGCCAGCGGGGGTTTGCTGCCATCAGCCCGACCCCCCTGTTCCTCTCTTCCCCCCCACCGCTGTGTGCCAGGATGGGGGGGCTCAGCTGTGAGCGTGTCCTTCAGTCTGTGTCCCCCCCCGGGGGGGGGGGGGGGTTGTGGAGGGGGGAAAAAGGAGCCATGCCAGTGGCTGGTTGCTGCCCCCCTCCGCATGCCCACCCAAAGGGAACCCCCCCTTCTCTCTTCCAGAGATGGGGCTGGGGGTCCCCTGCCCGCCCACCCACCCCACCCCCCATAATTTGGGGGTGTTAAGGTGTGATGTGCTCTGGGGATGAAGCTCCTGTCCCCTCCAGGGGTGTCCTGGCCACCATCACCCCCCTCCCCAGGGCAGCCAACCTGCCTTTGCACCCCCAAAGTGATGCAGAGGGCATTGGGGTGGGTGAAGTCATTGCGCCCCCCCCCTCATTTTTTCTGTCCCCCCTCCCCAGGCTGCTGGTCGGAGCCCCCCGAGATGTGGAGCCGGTGAATGGCACAAGGACGGGCGCTGTCTACGCTTGTCCCCTCACCTCCTCCACCAGCGACTGCCAACGGCTCGACATCGAGTTGAAGAGTACGTGGGCACCCCGGGACACCCCAGTTTGTCTGTCCCTTTGCTGTCCTTCCAGTGCCCTCCTCACCCACATGCCAGTGGCTGGTTGCTGCCACCCTCCGCATGCCCACCCAAAGGGAACACCCCCTTCTCTCTTCCAGAGATGGGGCTGGGGGTCCCCTGCCCGCCCACCCACCCCACCCCCCATAATTTGGGGGTGTTAAGGTGTGATGTGCTCTGGGGATGAAGCTCCTGTCCCCTCCAGGGGTGTCCTGGCCACCATCACCCCCCTCCCCAGGGCAGCCAACCTGCCTTTGCACCCCCAAAGTGATGCAGAGGGCATTGGGGTGGGTGAAGTCATTGCGCCCCCCCCCTCATTTTTTCTGTCCCCCCTCCCCAGGCTGCTGGTCGGAGCCCCCCGAGATGTGGAGCCGGTGAATGGCACAAGGACGGGCGCTGTCTACGCTTGTCCCCTCACCTCCTCCACCAGCGACTGCCAACGGCTCGACATCGAGTTGAAGAGGACGTGGGCACCCCCGGACAACACACCCCGCCCCCCCCCCCCCCCAGCATGGGGGGGCTCTGGAGGGGTCCCCGCTCTCACACTGTCTTTTCCTTGCCTAGATGAGCCGGACAAAGCCATCATCGATGACATGTGGCTGGGGGTGACGGTGGCCAGCCAGCGGCAGCCGGCTGGGAGGGTGCTGGTGAGTGCACTTGCCCCCCCCCCCATAATATTTCACACACTGCCTTGCACGACTGCACCCGGGAGCCACCGGTCCTGTCAGGTGTCCCCAGCGTGGTGGCACCAGGCAAAGGCACTGCAGGGCTTCCCCTGTCACCTCCCACTCTCCCTGTCTCCTGGGGCGGGGAGCTGTGGGGTGATGGGGTGCTGGGACCCCTCTACCTGGCAGGGTGTACTGGTGTGGATGGAGTGATGCTCTCGGGAGCATCTCGGAGACATCTCAGATACTCTTGGGAACATCTCAGGCGCTCTCTGGAGGATCTTGAGAGCATCTTGGGGACATCTCAGGTGCCCCCGGGAGCATCTAAAGAACTTCTGCAGTGCTCTCAGGAGTATCTCAGACATCTCAGGATCTCTTGGGAACACCTCAGGTGCTCTCAGAGCATCTCGGGAGCATCTCAGGGACATCTCAGGTGCCCCCGGGAGCATCTAAGGGACATCTCAGGAGCTCTCAGGTGGCAGGACAGTGTCAGGCCACCCACCATACCCAGGATAACGCTGTGACACATGGGCTGCATTAATGGCAGGGCAGCGTCTGACCCCAGGATCGGGGCAGAGGCAGCACACGGGGCAGGGGGTGGTGGCCCCAGATTTTTAGGGGTGCCTCCAGTGCTGAGAGGGGGTGTCGCGCTGTGCCCGCAGGCCTGCGCTCACCGTTACACCAAGGTGCTGTGGTCGGGCAGCGAGGACCAGCGGCGCATGGTGGGCAAGTGCTACGTGCGGGGCAACGACCTGCACCTCAACCTCAGCGATGAGTGGCAGACCTACCACAACGAGATGTGCAACTCCAACACCGACACCGACGAGACCGGCATGTGCCAGATGGGCACCAGCGCCGGCTTCACCGCCAACATCATCTACTTTGGGGCGCCCGGAGCCTACAACTGGCAAGGTGTGTGGGGCTGGGGCGGGCAGCCCCTCTCCTGGGGGTGCCTGGTGCCTGTATTCTCCTGGGACACCCCCTTGTGCATGCACCTGTGTGTGCATGCACATTGGAGCACACGAGTGTGTGTGCACACCTGTGTGTGCTTGTGTGCCCCTGTGCATGTGGTGAGCTCACTGGAGCACGTGTGCAGGTGTTTGCACGCGTGTGCCTGAGCATGCCCTGCACGTATCACACATCTGGACCTTGGCGTGTGCACTCTGCGCAGGGGTGTCCACGCTCACACATGTGTCTGTGTGTGTGTGCTCACACGCACTGCAGGTGTGCGAGAGGAGCGGGTGCCAGGGGTGAGGGTCTGCCCCCACTATGGGGTTGACCCCCCCCTTTCCCCCCCCCCATCGCAGGTACTGACTACATGCTGCAGCGGGTGATGTGGGACCTCCATGACTTCTCCTACCCCAACAAGAAGAACGGCAACATCTATATAGGTGGGGGGGGGCAGCAGGGTGGGGGGCTCCCCCCCGTCATGGGGGGATTTGGGGTGAGGAAGAGCTTTGGGAGATGTGAATTTGTGTGGGGGGGGGAACCTCAGGGGTGGGTGTTAAAGGGGTGTGGGTTTAGGCGGGGGAGGGTGTGGGATGGTGTGAGCAGGGTGGTGACACCGTGGTGACTGGGGGGGGCTGGAGGAGGTGATGGCAGTGGGTGCTGTGGGGATGTCGGGGGGTTCCCATATCACCCGGGGGGTGTTTTTTGGTGGCAGGGTACACGGCGGAGGTGGGCAGCGGGGTGCTGCATCAGACAGCGGTGACGGTGGTGACGGGGGCCCCGCGGTACCAGCACATGGGGGCCGTGTTCCTGCTGAGCCACAGCCCCCAGCAGACCCTGCAGAGGAGCCTCCTCCTCCCTGGGCACCAGGTCGGCTCCTACTTCGGCAGCGCCGTGGCCCTGGCAGACCTCAACAGCGACGGGTGAGAGCGGGGACCCCCCCC